ATACAACTCAAGTTTAAGTACCAGAATATTAGATTTTTGACTATATTTATAAGAAATCCTAATACAATACTAGCACATCATAAATACTTAAGTCTATACAATGATGTACTTAGAAATTATAAAAATACTAATCAAATAACTATTGTTATACAATATAATCTATATAATATTAAAGAAAATGCTTATTATACATCATCTAGCAAATATTAATTTTGTTATTTTTATATTTTTTGTAATATACAAACTTATTTACTATACTTAAGACTTTTTACAGATTAAAAATAAAATAACAATACAACTAAAGAAATTAAAACAATATTTTAACAAGCTCTAAAATAAAAACTTGCACTCTACTAGAAAACTAAAATAAAATATAAACTTTATTTAAAGTATACTACTATTTACTTTATCTATTACACAATACTCACATATCAAAGCTATAGTCAATAGTTTATAAAAAATATTTAGCTTTAATCAGTTTTCTAAAATATGCTTTACAACACTATCTTAGTATTTAATAATATATTAGATATCTGTATAGACTTATAACAGTACTTTTTTATTACAAGTTAATAAACTTTTTAATATCTATTATACTTTTATTAGAAGCTTAGTTAATTTTATTCTTAAATTATACTTTTAATTACTGCTACTAAACTACTATATTTTACTATATATCAAGAGCTTAATTTTAAAGTTAGAAGATTCTTCCTTTATAATCCAAATATAACAAATATATCTCTATTTGATATTAATGTTTTGTATAATAATGCTATATTTTTAAGCTATTTCTAAATAACTACTTTACAACTAAATTATTATCATTATTTTTATTTTTTAATATCAAAGTAACTTTATGGTCAGTTGCCTTTATTAGTTTATATACTAAGCTGATCAAAGTCAGCTGCTACTCATTTGGTATATAGTTTTTAGAGAGTACAACTAGCCACATGTACAACTTTTGATTGTCTATTTAAGTAGTCCGCTCGAAGGTTTTATACTAGATGCCATACCTATAATTCAACTAGGGGATTACCTATTTAAACCCTTTGTACTGCCACATCATTATAAGAAACCAATACTTGCTATAGAAAGCACCTGATCTAGGGCTAATTTACCCTTGAGATAAACTTGCTAAAGCTTTCTATACTCACAATTCGGCTAACCTAAACTTCAGTAACTTATGCTGAGTCTGAAAACAAGTACTTGCGAGCTGAGGCTGCTACCATTACCTACTTCTGCTCTTGTAGATTTTCCTCTTTCATCATATCTCACACTTTCTTTAACCTTTTATGCTTGTTCTTTTTTGCTCCAATTCTATTTTCACAACAATATTCAAAACCAACATTTTCACCAGTCTTCATATCACCAGTTTTTTCTCAGATACAATCCTCAAGGTTCCTATGATCGTCAGAGCTTTGGGCTTCAACAAGTTTCAAGTCATTATTTTCATCAAGATTCGAATAATACTTTGACAAGCTTTGATTATATACAGCTAATGTTTGCACTTCGTCCTTCACAAGACTAATACTATCAGTTCTATCTGCATTAACTGGTCTCGAATAATGCTCAAATACTTTACCTTTAACATTATTGGTAGCTTTAGTATCATTAATAACTTAACCAGCATAATGGTAGATTTTATAGTCACCCTTTTGATTCACTATATTAGGTTTACCTGGCTTCTACCCTTACTATAATAGCCACGCTTATATGTTTCATTGTCTTTAACCTTTGTCTCAATATTATGATATCCAAGACCCTCTTTGCCTCTCAAATTGTCACCTTCAGTATTAGTTAAATGCTATCCACTTAACCCTTTTCAAAACCAGTTTTATTTTTATAACAATATCCAACCTTGTATGTTGTGTTATTATTACCCAAGTCAGCAGATTTTTGATGGTGACTGAATGTTGAATGCTCTAAGGTTTCTTGGGTTTGGGCTACTATTGCTTGTACTATTGAGCACAAGTCGAATGAAGCTATATAGGAATAGTATAACTTGATAAAAATCGAAGGCATATCAGGATTTGATATGTTTCTGATTTCTTTTATTTAAATCAGACACCTATCGGGTAACTGATATGACTAGGAAGTACTCAGATTATAAACTGATAATCAAAAGGTTTATAGGGCTTAAATCGGACACCTATCAGGTAACTGATATGACTATAGAAGTAGTTAGATAATCAAAAGATTTATAGGACTTAAATCGGAAATTAATTGATTTAGTCAAAAAAAGTAATGAACTAATTTATAAGCTTATCAATAAATTAATACCGGTAATTATTCGGGTACATATTGATTCATATATATCAATTTCTATCTACACATATTAGTACCTGAGGTAAGTGAACTTATCATTAAAATACTTGTTTAAACTTATAAAGTAATATGTATCCAATAAATGTATTAGGCATTTAATATAAGGTTTAAAGTAAATATCGAATACAAGAGTATAGCAATGTAGAGTAGTTGTTAAGTTGTTACCCCAAGCGGCAGGTTTAGAGTTCGATTTCTACTGAAAACATTTTTCAAAAAATAGGCCTGTGTTCTGGTAACATTTATTTGATGATCGGTTAGGTATATCACCTGTAATCTTGGTACTACTATCTTGAAATAGAAGCTTTAGGGCGATCTAAATCCAAGGAACCAGAATATTTGAAATCTGTTTGGCAAGATCTGAGCTAGGAGTAGTGAAGATCTTTGATGATACTATAAAAAATCAGAACCAGAGACCGAAGAACCAGACGAACAATCCTGGGCAAGAAGGGTCCACCAACCTGGCCGCTAGAGTCATACCAGAGGAAAAGGTTTGATGCTACAAAATTCAGAACCAAGGGAAGTAAAACTAGAAGGCACTTAGAGCCTAGGTACAACAACCCTTTTGGGCTAACTGGTTTAGTAGTTGGAGAGAATCAGTATAAGAACCGGTTGAAAGTAGGTATCGGGATTGGAACGAACCTTGTAAGGGCAAGAAGTAGGTAATAGTAGTAGCTACAAAAGCTGCAAGTACCAGTCCTCGAATTGGGTATAAGTTACCAAAAAATCTAGATGATACATATATAGAACATGGACTGCTCTAGTAGATTTACTATGAGGATAAAGTAGTCCTAAGAGGCCTTAGTGGCAGGAATTCTTCCAGGATAAGCATCTGACGATGCTAAGTCGATTAGAGGGTTTAAATAAGGGATCCACAAGCGGATCTTATGTATGACAATTGGTGGGTAACTATAGATAGAAATAGATATAGCAAAGCCCTTAAATAGGCAATGACTAAAGTTGTACATGTGGCCAATTGTACTCTTGTTGATATAACAAAGTCAAGAGGTACCTATTCGGTATCCTGATAATTGACTTGTAAAGTTAATAAACCATGCCAGACCCCAAAGTAGTTATCTTAATATTAAAAAAAAAAAAAAAGTAAATATCGAATATATATTTATTAAATATGAAATTTTCTATTGATTGGAATGACCGATATATATTCTTTGGGGGTTTTTTTCTGACTTTGACAGTATCAGAAACAAATTAACCCATTATATTATATATAGAGATTATACAATCCTGACTCATACTATAGAAATTTCAATTCCATAATTCGATATTACAAATATCATCAACTTGGTAATAAAATCTTGTCTTTCGATTATCTACCACTTTGTACTATTGAACAAATGCCAATATATGTTTTCTTGATCCTTCTGGTAGTTGTATTTTGTGTTTGAAATAGTATTGAACAACTCTGGAAAATATATCAGTAGAATTATCTTCCAATATAAATTTTGTGAGAATTTTTGCTGACTTTTTATGCTGTTTAGAGTAAATTGACCTGAAAATTTTATCACCAATCTTTACCCTTCTGTATATAGTAATATTTGGTAATACTGCTATAGCATCTGATTCAGCAATATGAATTTTGTCTAATGATACAAAATTATAATAATATGCATTATTATAATAACTTGTCAACAAAGAGTATACTTCTTCTGGAAGCTTTTTTTTATTCTTTGACCCTAGTAATTCTCCTATACCAGAATTTTCTTCAACGTTTATAGATATTGAAAGAAACTCTCAGTTATCATTATTACTATTAATTGCAAGACTACTATTTATCATTCTTGATTCAATGAATTGTAAACAAGTTTTTAAATAGCCTTCAGTTAGTGTCGAAATTCTATCCATAAATGAATAATATTGCATAGTTTTAAGTAATTCTGGTTCAATTCTTCTGTTGCTACTATGAATTGAATCTATAAATTTATAAATTAGTTACAAGAGCTATTGGCACATTAATGTGTCAATCGATATTTTTTTTTAAATATACAACTTATCTAATAAACCATTCATTCTTTTGAAACTAAAACACCAGAAAGTATATATTGGCCTATATCTAAAAATAGGCAATACATCAGATCTATTATAGTAAACCAGACCAAGTTAAAGTAAGAAAGCCAATACATTTCTGATCAACAGACTAATATTTCTGATGTATGCTTTCTTTGTGCATCTTTGGTATTATAATCTTTCTATGTGACAGCATCTTGACAAATTGTATCGATATCCCTTTCAACAAACTATTCATCCATATCAGAAAATCTGCCAAAATTTGGTTGATTTCTTTCAAAATTTGACCTCTTCAAGCACCTATAGCAAGCAATTTACGCTGAAATAAAACTACACAATTTTTTTGTAGCTGGTATATCACAAGAACAGCAAATTACTGCTACCCTAATAAATTTGTCAGTAGGGCTTTTGAAAGTTTGTGAAAGTCTAAGTTCATCAAATAAGTCTATTAACTGGTCGACTAAAGGGCCAAAAAATAGTTTAACTAATGCAACTTAGGTTTGTTTGGCCCAGGAATTAATGCTAATGTTAGGATATTTGATGGCTTAAATTACTCATCATGTAGAAGATTGCAAATTACACTATAGACAGCTCTGATACTAAAAAAGAAAATATTTAAAATTTCTAATTTATAACTGGCTTAATAAAATAAAATTAACTAAAATAAAAATTATAATTTAAATCTGATTAATAAAAACTAATATTTATCTATATTGAGAATTATTAAAAGATTGGAACCAATCCAAGTTCAACATTATTCCTAAATTATAATCTGATACATCATTCTGGAAAAATGATAAATCTTTGCAAGGATCTTGGAAGGTTTTCCAAACTCTTCTGTCATAAATATCAGTCATCAAAGTAGGATCGATAGGCCTTCTGACCCACTTTCTGCAAGATTCCTCAAACCCTCTCTTATTATACAACAATTTAATTTGATTTGCCAAAGAAATAGTAGAGAAAATAAGTGCCAGTTTGAAAATAATATCTTTTGAAATATATATTTTTTTGGCAATAGGTAAGTTATACGGATATCTTTGATTTGCCATTGAATGATTCAGAAAATTTTAGAAAGTGCAATAGCTAAATTTAGGTGCTATATTTGGTTTTTTAGTTGATACATTGACAACACTGTATAGCTTACAATATTTTTCAAATATTGCATACTTACTATATGAGCACAGACCCCAAGAACTTGATATGCCAAATCTAAACTAGTAGAAAAAGTAGAATATACATTCACATCTTGATGAATTAAGAGATACTGAAAGAATTTTAATAAAGCATTAATTGCTATATTAGACAATCGAAACCGCTCTTGAAATTTGAGAACCCATACTAAAATCTATGTAAAACCTATCGAGATATCTATAGTCTTATTAGATATATCGACATCTTCATTTGTATTATCCAGTGTATTAAAATTAATTTTATCTGCTAAATTTTCATCTTGATCTTCAAATAGGTTATCTACACAATTGCTTATATCATCTTCATCTTCTGAAAACATGCTTTCGACTAATTGTGTAGATATTTGTACTCTCTTTCCTCCAATATAAGCTGATTTTTTCATTTTTTGGAATGACTTGTAGTAATGAAATTATAATTAGCTTCATAAGAAATTACTGAACCATTATCAGTACTGCCAATATCAGTTTGCATCAGTTTCT